AAAAGTGAACGAGCATAAGGGATATCTGTATGCAGGTATTTGAAACAGACATTTGGGAATCTCTCGAAGCTAGACACATCGAGACTCTCAACATTTGTAAGTGTGATACTATGATATGATGCAAACTATTTATTTACGATAGAGCTCGGCTTCCTGACTTGAAAGAAAATGGGTATTTACTGGACGGAGGAATGCTTCATTCCTTATTGCTCGTTGGCATAGGATCCAATTGGGGTCTTGCAGCCAGGCACGTTGGTTCTACAGGGATTTACTAGTGGAGGCTGCCCATAAGGTTGGAGCTCGGGCCCCTATGACATCGCCGTTTGCAATGTCACCAACACTCCCGCCTCCCGTTCCGCCGCTTTGAGGTCTGACACGAATTCGCTTTTGTCTCACTGCTTTGTGCTTATATTATATCTAGCAATTGCCTTGGGTCGCCGCCACGCCAATATTGAGGAAAGATCGTACCGACACACTATCAGTGCTGCCAACCTTTTAATACTACATTGATTTTTTATTTTTTTTTTTTTTTTTTTTCTTAGCGCTATTATTTACGCGTCTCGTATCGTCTATCGTCTATCGTTTGTCTATCTACGAACCCATGGTCGACGTCCTAGTCAGGCTCAGAGTGGACATTGGGCATGAATTTGATAAAAATTAATTTTCTAGTTCGGAAATTTTGAACCGTGATATCAGGAACCCAGCAATCCAAGATCCTCAAGATCATTCCACGGTCGCGGGTCAGCACACGGCGGCTCCTACCAACGGGCCAGGTTTGTTTCTCAGGGTCCATCTGACATCGATACTTTGGAAGCAACTAAGACGGATCGCTCCTGGTTAAAAGTGCCATTGGTAAACTCGGGCCTGCCCCCTGAGCCCAGCAAACTTAATTGTCGCCGTCATACTTCTATTCATTAACTCTTTCTCCATTTGACTCAATCTCGGTTTGTATGTGAATACAGACCGACCAGACTCCTTACCATGCCTTCTTGTCTCTCTACGACAGCATATTCCATAATATCGCCTCCCTGACATCCATCAGGTTTGGAACACTCACTCGGCTATACCACTCTTCTCAAATATTTCAATTGAATGACCAAGTTGGGTGAAGCCAGTATACCTAACTTTGGCACTCCATAATGCGTACTCCCACAACCATTATGCCTTTGGGCAACGCATCCCTTAGTCTTGGGCTCATTCTCCTTGGCGGCAGCGTCTGGTATTTGAGCCGCACGGCTTTCTTGAAATACAGTGACGCTGGACTCGATGACCCGGCCCTTCTTCGAAATAACTCCAAGATCAAGGCTTACACGGCCAATCGAAGCGGCATTAACTACCCAGGCGTGCGTGTCTTTTACCGACGACATCCCAAAGCCGGTCAGCTTCCGCGAGACCCGGCGCCACTGCCTCTTCTGGTTTTCGTTCACGGCCTTTCAGGATCCGTCGTGCAATTTAATTTGTTGCTAAACAGTTTAACAAACTGTGCATCATGTCTTGCCATTGACCTTCCAGGTTGTGGAAGGTCTCGCTTTTGTCAAAAATCGTGGGACGCATATAAGACTCGTAACCTCGCGGACCTCATTGAGACCATCATTGCCGATCACCTAGAAGAGGACCAAGGCTTTGTTCTGATTACGCACGATGTGGGAGCCTCATATGCAGCCGTCATCGCCGCGAACGCGTCTTCGAAGTCATCAGAGCTCGCATCGCGTCTCATGGGTCTCATTGCTATATCACCCAAAACCTTACCGCCAAAAGTGATAACCGTTGAAGAACGTCGAAAACAATGGTGGTACCCTGATTTTTACTTCACCCTCAAATGGGCCAAGGACAGATGGACTGACATAGAGGGTCATCTACGATGCACTTTGGGGTTCGATCCGGATTCTGACGCTCGACAACTTCAGGCCAAGTTTGATTGTCAAAGTCGAGCCCCGGTCTATTATCGCATGCTTCACGGCCTGATGCCAAATGAACACGAGGTCAGGCGAGAAGCATTCGTGGGAGTCCATAACTGGGGAAGGGTTCGGGTCCCCGTTTATTTAGTGTCTGGTACTAAAGACACAATGCCCACACCTTCGAATGTCGATCACATTGAAATGATACTCGAGGAAGCGCTGGGGATGCCAGATTCCCGGGAAGTGACAAACCCTGTGGTGGATAGCAATGATGAATATCTCCTATCTGTCAGACAGATAATGCGACAACAGCAAGCCGTTGGTGTTACTGCACCACCCCCGTATCTGCCGTTAAAGATCGAAGATCTCAGTGAAAAGGATTTCGAGCGCCTGAAGGTTCTGCCTTATGGAAATGAAGATACAGAGGACCCCACTACCCCCAGAGACCACCAAGAACCCGAATGTCTATCGAATACCATCCCTCCACAGCCACGACACCCCAATCTCTGGGTTGACTCCACTTACGTTCGTGGCGGGCATGCAAGTAAGTGAAGGCCATCATGGAACTCGTTGGCTTTTGGCAGCCTAGATAAAGGACATGGGTTCCCTAACTCGGTGTTTTACAGTACTCTATGTGCCAATGACAGCACGAATCGTGTCTGGACTCGTCAGTGACTTCCTCCAGAAGCGGATCACTGCCCGTCTGTCACTGTAAGTATCGGACCTTGGTCTCTAGACTCCGAACATTGGCCATCAGTTGACAGTATCGGATTCCAGAGGTTGGCAACTACAGTATTTGTCAAGAGAGGGCAAATGGGACGTCAAGAATCTCGCCAAATGGAAGAGCGTGCTACCGGTCTCGAAGCCGATCAATGGCATCTTCAGAGCAATGAAAACTCTGAGGGAGATCGACGGTGAACATAGCCCAAAGATCTTCACTGCAAAATGGTAAGCTAACTTCTCTAGCTTTCAAGTTCGTTCAGAAAGAATTAGGCTAAGAAGTAATGCTCAGGGGCCACACCATCAAAGACGTTATAGACATCAGCCATGCAGATCCTGTCTATGACCCAAACAATTTCGGCAGTGGAATCCGGTATCATAAATTTCCGACTGTTTCCAAGATTCCGCCTACCAGAGACGAGGTGAATGGGTTCATCAGGCTCGTGGACACGATCCGCGAAGATCAGAAGCAGAGAGCATTAGACGAAGGACCCGAAGAAGGCTGGAACGGAGAAGTCTTCATTGGCGTCCATTGCCATTACGGCTTCAACCGGACGGGATACTTTGTCGTGTCGTACCTCGTCGAGCGATGCGGGTTTAGTGTCCGCGATGCGATTGATACATTCGCTGAGGCGCGCCCTAATGGGATCAGGCACTCGCACTTCCTGGATCGGCTCAACGTTTCTTATATGCGGTCGCTATAGCACGGTGACACACAGATGTTGATATTCTGAGCCGGGCGGTGATGGCAAACACAAACAATTAAATACCTAGGAGGTCAGGCGAGACCTCGATAGGGCTTGGTTTTCCCTTCTCCCATCTTTCTGTGCCTGAGATCGAACTTAGGCACCTCGGAGGAGATTCATACAGTTAGTAGCGGTTTCAGGAGATTAATTGTCTCGTTATTTTTCTCCTTTTCTTTATCCATCATGTATGGCGTACAGGTTAGTTTCTTTACCCGTCCAGCGGTTAGGAGTGTTCAGGGAGAAGATACCTATCGAGGCACGGAAAGATGGAATCATTCTGGTGTTTAGTTTCTCCGCTTGAGTCAGGCTGAGTCTGGCATGGCATGGCATGGATTCTGTATAAGGGTTTAGACTCAGTGGCTCAAAGGGCCGTTTCTATGCTTATATTATCATGATGCTTCTTCCTTCTTGAGCGGTGCCGGCGATGTGATGATACGCTATATGCCTTTGACTTCATTGTAGAGCAATCTATAGCATTATCGATGCTCCGAACATTGATAGGCTGGCGCAACACAGGTGACACGACATGGCTTGGTTATGTAAGGGAGTTCAACTCAACAATTTACCTGCATCTACTACACCAGCCAGTTAGTGTAGTTTCCCTTTTCTCAATTCAATGTTATTGACACTTCTTAAACCCAGCTTTCTCTACCGTAGCTCTGTTTTTTCCCCCTTGTCGTTGGGGGATGAGAAAAGTTAGAAAAAGAAGCGTTGATCGTTTTGTGGTTTGAGCTACTTCAAGTATTCGACTTGAGCTGGAATAACACACCCCGTGCATATCTAGTACCGTTTGACAAAATAGCATTGTGGTTTTGACGTACCATTACACGGGTAATTCATAATGCTCATAACCAGTTAATATCTTCTGACTGCCCAGATCGTCAAGCTCGTACACATCAGCTTATGCCTTGTCTAGCGGCTTCTTATGAAGCATGCGCCAGCTTTCCTAGTTAGTCTTCCTAGACATGCAGAACCCAGGAGTTTCATCGATTTACGGTAACCCAAAACGAGACGGGATGTCTAGCCCTACTTGATGTGACGCTCAAGTTTAGTTCAAGGGTCTTTGCTATTTGGCACACTCAATCACTGTGTAGTTCACCTGGCCTGGAGAGCCGGTTCAGGGGAACTAGGTACATGGGGCGATATTCGCAACGTGACGGTGTGATCCTGCGCTAGAGATAAGGAGATTCTTCTGTGTCGGGACTTGTCTGACCTGTCTCTATTACAGAATGGTTTGGAAACTACCTGACTTGGAGTGGTTCCATAAGATTCATGTGTACTATCGTTATTGCCATATCATTATACCAGTTTCGACCGCCATTGAGAATAGACGTGTTCATGAACTGTGAAGTAGCGAGAAGACGTTCTCAATTGTTGCACTCGATCTAGCATTACGAGTTGTTTCGACGGTCTTCCACTGCCTTCTTTATGTCCTGCCTCGAAAAAGGATCCATTTCACAACTTACCTTATACTCACCCGAACTATAGTCTATCACCCGGGCTAACTAAGATTTATTAGCTTAGAGACGAGCGAACTTTATGAGCCCTTTGAGCTTCACCTGACACGTACGATGTCGTAAAAGGTATTTGCTTTATAAGTTCATTAGGTCCAGGATACTCCTAACAATCAGGCCGGGTTGGTATGGCCTAGCGGTATAGCGTCTTGATTTTCAAATATCATTATTCTAGTATTCTCTAGACATTATATTAGGTGGTAGGGTTCGATTCCCTACGCGGCCATTTATTTTGTTTCTCCTCTTTTTCCTCTTTGCTCTCTTTTTGCCATTGTCAGCATCCTCTTCTGGATTGTTAACTATCTTCATCATCCTTTAGATCTTCATCTATTGTAACTACACCGGATCCGGCGTCTATCCGGGTGAACCTGTGTGGACTGACTAGAGATGGGAAAGGGGGACTAGCAATATTATGCCACTGAGCGATGTTCGGGCCAGTGTAGTTCTTGAAGCTTTCATTTCATTGTAAAGTGAGGCGCGCACACCACCATAAGCTAAAATTTAGGGAAATCAATACGGCATCAAATTGAACAGTCTTTTGAATCTTATCTAGGCTACCGCTTATCTCTTGAGTCAACGACAAGTTCCCTCTTACTGGTATGCTGTGGAATACGACACCTACTCATTAGTCAAGGGCAAAGGGTCATTGTAGTGCGCCCTGAACTCAGCCACCGCACTCTTTCTCATACATGTGAAAGAGCCCATGTCAATTGCCTCTCCATCATGTCTAAAAGCAAGGGGGTGGGCGCAGTGTACTGATATGCCTGCCTGACTTGCTTTCGTATTCTCGCATAGCTCATCTCTATGCCCATCGTTGTCAAGCGTACTTGAGTATCGCGAGTCTTCCTGCCGAGAGCAACATCCAGCGACATGAAGCCAATGGTAAGGACAGGGAGCGGCCGCTCGTTACGAAACGGCAACCTAAATGCATGGCCATGTAACACTCTTGGTTGGTCCCAACTTCCCAGTCACCGCACATGACGCTTGTCTAACCAAGAACAGATGGCACGGCCGTTGACGAGGTAATGCACGTTGCTGATTCAAAGTATGAGAAGACGTATGGCTATGGCGTTGCGTAGGGAGGAAGTTAGACAAGTGGTAGTTGGTATTAACGCATGGTAGGCTATTTCCAGCTCGGAAATGCTGCATACATATCTGCAGGAACGGGGAAGCAAGCACGGGCTGTTTTCCTAACACAGTGTCTTCTTCTCCGGACTTTCGTGTTGGTTATTTAATTAGGACCAATTCATCATTTCCATTATGTGGGCGGATGTTCGTCATCCGTAAGGCAGATCTATATCCATTACGATCTCACGAGCGAACGCGAAATTAGCCCTATGCAGACCTTGACTGACAGGCAGGGAACAAGGGTGACAGGTTCGAAAAATATTCTAGAAGGATGTCCCCTCGTTCTGACAGCGGGCGATTGCAGTAGTGCCGCGTCGTCCATGGTTTTGGGGCTCGCTCGCTTGTCAGACTCATGTGCTCGAGGGTTGGTTCGAGCAAGAAACCTGGGTGAAGAGCATAACTGATCAAATGTCTTCGGTTCCTCCGATATGAGGTTGGTTAGCAGGCAGTACACTTGACACCGAGAGACAGTGAGCTAAAGTGAGCTATCCATGCGCCATCAATAAAAACTTGAGTCATCAGAGGCAGAGTTTGATGAATGCGAAGAGAAGATAATAAAGGAACAAATTACCCTCGTCAATGCATTAATGCGACGCAATTATACCTGCATCTCCACCCTTCCCGGATGAGGATAGATGCCCAGGGGTTCCATCAGCCAAGCATCAGGTAGGCACGCATTACATTGGTTGACCCGACTTTTGTTGGTTATCCAAGGCAGGCCAATGAAGGTCCAGCGCGGGCATGAAATAGGTCGAAACAGGCAAGGAGGATTATCCTTGCTGTTGCGACAAAAAAGATCAGCCAGGACGAGAGGAACGATCTCGGATGAGAGGAGAAAAAATAAGTTGACGGAATTCAGATTTCGTCAACGCTTGTTCCTGACGATAGTCCGTCTGCAAGCACTCTCAATGCCTGCTATATCCCCCACGTGTCAAAGCCTTTCCTTCACTGTATGATGCGCATTATAGACAGGGGCACTCAAAACAAAAATTTCATTCGACCGAAATACGTACACATGCAGCTCTAATTCGCCTGAAGTTTACTCACACAAGATACCGACATAGGTACCTACTTACATATACCTATTCAGGACAAAGCTGGAGCTTCCCGCTGCACAGCTCGGCGTTGTTGACACGCTGAAAGTTTCCAAAGAGGCAAGATAGGTGAAAATCGAGTAGAATCGTATGTAGGTCCAGAAAATCGTACGTCTTGCGATGTAACCGAAAATAAAGAAGGTCATACAACATAGAGGGAACCCGAAACGCAAGACATCCGTAACGTCTCAACTTGGGCGATGGCGGCGAGAGTCTAGGCCACACAGCGAAGACAGAATTGACCGCATGAAGTTTTAGTGAGTTGATGCTGCTCCTAATGTATCAACACACTTAAGCCCATCTAACGATGACGAACGGTCATGGGGTAATTCTGGCGGCTGGCCTTGCTGATCAGGGACCCGGCATCTCTCGTCCGCAACGTCACAAAGAGCCCACGTCTCGTAAATTTCCACTGTCCCGGCATTTTTGAATTTCGCATTTCCGTGCACCCCACGGCGTCAAAAAAGAACGAATCGGATTTGGGCTCTTGTCGTCTAGATGCAAGTGTTGGAGATCAGTGACGTTCGATCCGCGTCAGGGTCGCGTTCGACGTTGAAGAGCTCTATTATTATTATTTTTTCCTTCTTTTCTTCTGGCTGTTGTCAAAGCGCTTGCAGCATAACATTAGGCAGTACATAAATTAAATAGAGTCAACCGTGCATATGGAGTAATTTAACGATGCAGGTAGTGGGCGAATAATGCAATCTCTGCGGTACACCACAACTAACGAAGATGTAATGAATGTCGGGGTAGGTCACATTGGGCGGCCGACTATGAGGCCCTCATCATCGTCCACAGAGATTCACCTCAGTGGACCCGGGCAGTCGGATACGGGAAAGCCGACCCTGGATGAGTATAGCTAGGGTATAATGTCAAGTTTCTAGAACATCTATGAAATGACTTTTGACTGGCTAGGAAAATTAAGCATGAGAAACGTTAGATCTAGCTTGACTCGTGGCTGTTATTAGATCATCTGCATCTTCACATGTCAGCCCATGACTCCATCTCCTATGAAGTAATAAGTACTGTATTCATAACGACACCGCATGGAATGATGGGAAAAGAACTCTAGCAATTGCACATGTCAACATTCTAATTATAGTCTTTCGGTTGAGAAGACATCTCTACCCTGAGAGGCATTTGTTCGAAGGATGGACAACCAATAACCCGATAGATGGGGATCTCGCTTGTGCAGGTACAGTATCTTTGGCCTAAAAATCTGACCTGGTAGTTGTGCGTGGTACACACATACCGCGGCCGCCGACAGGGGACCAATCCTCACTTCACAAAAAGCTAGAACTTCATGCACCTTTCTTATGACAATTTCTTTTTTTTTCTTGCAATGAATGTCGTCAATTTCGCATTCTTCCCGCAGGTACGAAGTACGTACAGCAGTAGTGGGCGGTGTCTGAGCTTCAGAATAGTCCCTGCCCAGAACGTCTCGCATTCTTCTAGAACCTAAAGCTGCCCTGGTCGCCCAGCATTAACCCATCATTTTAATGCTTGGCCGTGGTGGTGCCTGAGACGCGTCTCATTCATGCGACACCTCCTCCGTCCTTCAGCTCGAGATACCCGTGCTTGCCATTGGTCTCGTCAGTCCGTCGCATTGGATCGCTCATTACGCAATCTTCAGGGCAAGGGGCGCCGTCATCCGACACTACCGGTCCATCCTATTCCACGGCTCCCACAACCATCGCCGTCTCTGTCAAAACGACCCAAGTCGACGCCTTCCATCTCTTATTAACGGCTTGGTCATTCAAGCATGAAGACGGGGGTTACTTCGGGGTAATTGCATTCCCCCCAAAGTTACCTCTACGGGACGTTTCTGCTAGCGTCACGCGCGCGCAGGGCTACGTCCCGGATTAGCAGTCAGGAGGAGTCTGATGAGGCTCATGTCTACTACCGCCACTTCTCTGCAGTAATCTACTGCTCGGCAATCTGGCTGCTTGGCATATCCGTTACGGAGCAGGTCTAACGGCTGACTCGAAGGCCTGTCAGCATCACAGCTTCCTGTGCCCCTTCGCAATTATACCACCCCAGTCTCAAATATAGCCCTCCAAGTGGAGGTCAGAACGGCCCAACCCCCCGATACTTGTTTCTCATTTGCCTCTCAGCAGTCTTCTTTCTTTCTTGCGCCACATGAACATCGGTAGTGAGCTTTCAGGGATCCCAATGGACCACACTACTTCGCACCTCCCCCGAGCACACATGGTCACAAGGGGTTTTGCGATTCTCTACCTACTGTGAGGTGGCGTGAGACGCTTGGATTTCCAAGCATTTCCTAGTCATGCTCTCGGTGGTCACTGCCCAACCGCTTGGTTGGGGCTTGTTTCATCTTTTTAAGTACCAAGTCCACCCTAAGGAACGCTTCCATCTGTGAGCTCTTGTTATTTGCGCCTCTTTTTTTCTCCACAAGAAGTAAAATACCTAACGATCCCATTGAAGCCCCATCAGGCCGTGAAAATTAGCATGAATATGGCGTTGGTCAAGAAGAGTTAAGGCGTGTCTGCTTAATTCGACCTCCCTGCCTTATCCAGGATCCCTGACCCTGTCGGCTTAGCCCAAAGGTCGATCCGCCGTAGTGGTCGTTTGCCCCAGTTGCATCATCAACTCCGGCCGGGGCCTTGCCTCGTTTCTATATCCGGCAAACAGGCAGACCATGGCATAAGATCTCCAAATTACCTATGCTACCGTCATCGCCCGGGCAAGGTACCCGACTCTCTCTGCATCCGTTCAGGAACAGTACTTGTCTCGTACAGATCAAATTAGGTCAAGTGCTTTAACTTTTGGATCAAAGTGACCTAGTCCAAGTCTTCACCTGTTAATCCCAACATCACCCCAGTCCAATTAGTACCAAGTGCGTGAACCACACGATATAATGCAGCCGTTCCCGCTTGTGCCCCAGCACACTCCTACATTTTGTTGCTGTATAATAGAGCAGTTAAGGATAACAACAAGAAGGGCTGACCCACGTACTGGTTGATTTGGGCGGCAACGAAATGCT